AAAAAACAGAAAAAAACTGCTGAATTTTTTTGCCGTGGGAAATAAAAAGCCCCTTTGTGAGCAGGTCGTCCATCCTTCTGTCAACATGGCTGAGTCTGGCTGGTGAAGAGAAAGTCCACCAGCCAGAGTCATGGGACACTTTCCTCTTGGTGATTTTATATTTAAGAACCTGCCTCATGGTGCATGTCCCGAGAATCACCCACGAGTGAGGCCCCGTCAGCACGTAAGGGACCATTTGGGGTTCTTACAATGAGAGCTTTCTCGCGGGAATCTTAGTGCCGCAGTGATGCAGGAAGGGTGATATATCAGTGTGCTCTTATTTAGCACTTTTCTTGTGAGTGTGTTTAGCTGACGTCCCTCTAAAGTGTGAGTGAGTGCGTGTTTCTGTGAGTGTGTCTTCACGGGGTGAGCGCTTGCTGGCCTGAGGACCCCATTTCTTGGCGTGTGATGTGGGGTCTGCACAGGCAGGCTCTGAGACCCTGTGGGGCTCTAAGAATGCTGTGAGTTTCTGTAGAGTTCCTTCGTTTGTGGCATTCTTTCTTATGAGTTTCAGATACATGCCATCTGTATCATTAAATAATAAATACTGTCTTTGTTTTGGTTTAATTTCCTGCTTTTAAAAAAGCACAGTTCAGATGAAGGCAGTGAAATGGAGGACAGAATGAAGAATTTTCATTTTGTACCGACTTAAAAGATCCGGTGATCTCTTGATTAAAGAAGCACTGCAGTCATCAGGCAGGGGGCCCGTCCTGCGGCCACCTCTCCTTGGCAGTGGTGGTCAGGTACTTGATTTAATGCTCAGCATTCTAGAGCTGCTTGAATTTTTTATCCCTATCAAGATTGGGTCCTAGGTACTGTCCCACTTCAGGTGTAGGTGCTGTCACTTTGAGATTCAAACCGATCTTAAAAAGACAAAAATAACTCCCCCCCCAACCAAACTACGCAGGAGTGACTCTGGTCTGCTGGTGGGGAATGAGGGCTGAGGGGCATCGTCGGCAGTTGGGGCTGACCGGGAGGCCTGGGTCCAGGTCACTGTTGGCACTGGTGTGGGACTCCTATGGGGAGAACAAGGCTCCTCGGCACTCGCCCAAGTCTTCCCAGCTGTGTGCTCACGGGCATGCATGTACTGCCAGGCCGGGTGTGTGCCCCCAGTGCTGGAGGGGCCAGCCTGGCTCTCACCTGGGAGGCAGGTGAGCAAACGGAACAGCAGGACGTGTGCACCCACCAGCCTCCCAGGAAAGATGTTCTCTGGACAAGTCCTGCGGTTGGAGAAGCAGCTGCGTGTGCAGGGGCCGGGGTGCAGTGTGGAAGTCGGGGGTTGTGTCCCAATCTCTGGGTGAGAGCGCTGGTCTTCCTGGTGGTCCTGGACTCTTAGCTCTGTCATCTCTTTGCTTCCTTGCTGGTCACCTCGGCCTCTCTGGCCCCTGTCCTAGTGAAGCAAAGCGCTGTTGTCCCTTGAGGGCAGGGGATGCAAGGTCTGCTTGGTTTCTGGTCATGACTTTGCAGGGTGGTCCTCGGAGGAGGACGTCTCTTCGGGACTCACAGAGGGACACTCAGAGGCTGTCCTCCCAGGCCCTCGGCTCTGCTCACTTGGACAGATGTGTGTCTGTCTTTGGAGCTCTTCTCTGTGCTCGTGTGTACCTTGCTAGGAAACGTTTTCTAGGAGTGTTTGTACTGTGTCTTAATCATAATAGTACACGAGCTTATTTTCAGTGACTGCTCACGACAAGGATTCTGGACAAGCCTCATTCATTTGCAGCCCAGGGAGGCACGTGTGATTCTGGGCTCTTGAGGTTGGCATCCCCTCATGGGGCTCTGGGGTTCCTGTCCCATCAGGGGAGAGGGAATCCTTCCCTTGAGGCAGAGCATGGGGTCTGAGACGGTGCTGAGCTCCCCAGTGGGGAGGTGGGAGGCTGTCACCATAAAAGAGGGATGTAGAAGTTCACTCTGGGAAGCTGCCCACCCAGGAGGAGCAGGTGTTCTTGGGGGTGTGATTGGTTTTGACCACATCAAGTCCACCGCAGTGATGAGGTGACTCGAGTCTCCAGTCCAGGCCCCTGCTGCTTGCAGCTTCTCGTCGCTGGCCGGGCCCTCCTCTCGCTGAGGAAGTGTTGGCTGAGCCCCTCTGTGGACCGGGGGCTCTTCTTGCCTGGGTGCAGCAGTGAGTGACTTGGGCCAAACCCCAGGTTTTTCTTAAGTGTTTTAGATGTACTGTGTTTGCAAAGTGCAAGAGTATTCAGTGACAAAGTAGGTGTGTTCCTAAAGGTTTCAGAGAATGAATCATTTTTCCCATGAATTCCACTGTATTTTCAGAAACGTTAGTCTAGGAAAAAACTCTCCACCTGAAGATTAGCCCCAGGGAAAAGACCACATTTAGAAGATCAAGTGAATAGTGAAATGACTGACATTCATCAACGCCTCAACTAAAGATCCTGAATGGAAGCTTATTGAGAGTCGTGGTCAAAACCACCTTCTGATTAATATGAACAATATGAGCAAGTCAGTGGCCCACTAGATGAGGGTGAGAATAAAGGTATAAAGTCAGCACTCAGGTAAGTGGAATTTGTTAAAATATAAGAGTGAATTGGTACAAAAAATAGGGTGGAAGTTATGTATCAGTAAAACTTAGTTAATAAAAAAGTAAGGTGGGTGTGGTAGGCTGAGAATGGCTGCCGAAGATGTCCAGGCCCTGATCCCCAGAACCTGCAGAATGTGCTTTATATGGCGAAGGAGGCAGGCAGGTAGCCCTACACGTGCTCACAAAGGTCCTACGAGAGGGGGTGGGGTGAGGTGGGGCTGCAGGATGGCAGCGGCAGACAGGAGCAGAGCTCGGAGGGCTGTGGCCATGAGCGGGGAGCCGGGCAGCCGGGGATCCTCCCCCTGGGCTTCCAGAGGAGCCGGCCCCGCCAGCCCCGTGATTTTAGCCTGTAAGAC